GACAACATCGCGTACAGGGATAGCAGTACATCTGGACATGAAAGGTAACAGATCAGAAACTGACCTTGTGCTTGAATCCCATGAAAGGAATCTGTCGGAAATACAATGTGTTAGCAAGTTAAACTGATGTCATAATATCTCATTAATAACTTTCACAAAGTGTACAAAAATTAAAACAAAATCCAGAGGTATAAGAGCCAAAATCAAGATCAAGATATGTTGTTTGTCCCAATGGGGAAATTAGTATTAAACTCTGTGCTGCAGTTCCACAATAAGTTAACAAACAAACAGCCCAGCGCAGCAACGCACACATAACATTTAATTATCCACCATTAAAAAAAGAGAAGACACAAGTGTGATGTGGTGTAACACCCTCACATCACACACGTTGAAAAAATCATTAAAAATGCATGATTTCTAACCGGGAGTAAATCACTAACTGCCTATTTTCATTCCTTGGTGAGCTCTATGAAACTTGGCAAGAAAACTAAGCAAGGGAGGCCAAATCCAGAACATTTTGCAACTGTATTGGACAATGTGGCAATTCTCCATTCTCCTTCAGTCACTGAGGGGTTCACAGGCCACTCAAGTATGATCTTACTGTTCCTTCCACAGTACTCTCCTTTCCTCAACCCCACAGAGGAATTACTTTCCATGTTGAGGTGCCACATGATCAGAAATCCCTCTTGGGACACTTTTTGTTGCATTAGTGCATTTTGGATGTAAGATTAAATGTTATGCTGAGCTGCATGTCGGTCATGAGAATTGTCTGAACAGTGTGAAGTCTGTGCAGAGAGAGGTTGGTTATCAACTGCAGAAAACTGTAAATGTGAACTTGCATAAGTTTGTAATAACCTACATTAATCATGTATAAATCTATAGAAGGTTTAACTTACACATGAGGATGACAAACAGCAGCCGTCCATCCATGATGAAGCTGAGTACTAAGACTGTCCAGATAGAAGACACTTGTGTGTCTGACTACATCAACTTCAACATACTGTAGTCAGGTGTCATTTTGCAGAACATGCTCTCAGAAAAACCACAGTGTAGATCAGACGTAGATTACATTTATAGACAGGCCACGGACACACACTTGATGTCCTTTTTTAAGTACCTAATATATGTGTTTTATTTAGATTGAATCTACCACACTAGAGGCTCACCGCCAAAGAGAGATGAGAAAAAGTAAAAGTGAAATTGTTTATAGTTTTTTCTGTGGCTCTGTTGATATGCAGCTGCTTCGTTTTGGCTTTTTCCATATTAGTAGATACACAAAGGCCACAGTCTGTGTGTGTGTTCATGCGTGCTTGCATGTGTGTTGTGTATACTTGTACATGCCACATAGTGAGGAGCAAAATACACGTTTTAGCAACAAAGTGAGGACATGTGTGGAAAGTGAGGACATTTTTGGAAAGTGAGGACATTTTGGCTGATTCACACTTCTTCAGAGACCTGTTTGAGGGTTAAGACTTGGTTTAAGGTTTCAGGTTACAATTAGATTTAGGTTAGGGTTGGATAAGGGTTTGGTTTGGGTATTTACTTGCGATGGTTAAGGTTAGGACAAGTGGCTAGAGAATGCATTATGTCAATGAGGGTCCTCACAAAGATGACAGTACAAGAATGTGTGTGTAAAATTATATGCATTATATATGTCTTCACTAAAACGTTTTGTTTTTTCTGAAACAGCTCAGATTTGAGATCATGCTCATGCTCTGCTTGAAGTAAAAATGTTTGTCCTGAACATTCAACTGTTTAACTTTATATCTCCAAATTATGCACACTGTATGTCTGTCCCTCTACTTGGTAAAATGTCACATTGGCTGAATTAATATTTTTAAGTCACCTTAACAATGTTTGACATTTGACACAGTTGTAATGTTTTTATTATTAAAGCATTGTGACACATGATACATGTCATCTTCTGACATAACATCTGTTTCTATCAAGTCAACAAGGTGCAACTAAGCCACTGCACCATCCTTGTTTTTGCTTTTTGGGATAATGGTGTAAATAACATCATATAACCTGTACATAAGAAAGAAAAGAAAAGGATGCAAGAAACACAATGTCTGTATTTCATATTGACTTTGGAGTGCTGTACAGTGTGTATGTCAGGGCTGATGTATCAGACTTCTCTGAGGTGCTGCTGTCATCACTGTGAAAAGACACAAACGCACATGACTGAACTGACCTCAGTGAAATATAAACGTTAGCCAGCATTGTGCTCAACATATAATTTCCTGTCATGCCACAATAACACCGTTTTAAAGACTGATGATGCAAATTTTAACAAGTGTAATGTAATGTCATGTTATGCCTGTTCAAATTCTGGCCTGTTATGAGCATCTTAGCAGAACCTGCACCACCCAGTGGCTGATCAACATGTCTATGAGCCTTATACTTTAGTTGGGAAGAGGAAAGCAGCTCACCAGTGTCACACTCATAGGTGACGATACTATAGGTTTCATCATAGCCATCTGGCAAACCAGTGACGTTTGTTTTTTGTCTGAAAGGAATGAAAAAAAAAAACAGAAAAAGCAGGTTTTGTAAAGAGTGTGAGGAAAGCAAAAGCTTAGTACACATTTCCAAATGAATATTCGGGATTACTCTACCCAAACATCTAAATGATGTGATTGAAAAGTGTGAACCTCTGTCTGCTGTAATATGTAATGAACCTCATGGACCTGACAGTTGTCACTATCACTCAGCCGATTCCTTCATGTCAACACCTACATGCTGCTGCAGCATCCTCCATCAATCCAACATCACCTGGCTTGTGCCTTTTTTGAAGTTTTGTCAAGGATCTAGTGTGAATAACGTCTACTACAATCTCAGAAGTACGTATGCTATATCATTTGTGTTTTCAGAGTGCTGGGGATGTTATTTTTTACAGCAGACATATCACTGCTGCTGTGATTTTTTGAAAGGTCCCTCAAAGAACCTTGTTGCCCAATGTCAACGTGCTCTTGAGCAAAGTAATCTGCATCCAGTGGACCAGCTCAGAGGCAGTCAGAGGGAGATGGAAAAAATGATACATACTGGTACTTACTCAAGTTGACTTTATTGTATTTGAAAAATAAGATTTCTTACCTCTTGGATGAACATTTTTCTAGAAAATGGAACAAACAAAAAAATCAACCAGTGATGAATGATATCGACAAGCTTTAATAATACACACAAAGCTGCTGGATGTAGCAGTCATTCTTTTATGTTTTGCTACCAGAAGTAATGTCAGCTGTCTTTAACTGACATGAATTTGAAACTACATGAAACATTACCTACAACTGCAGCTGGGTTTTACAGTGAAAACTCAAATAAACTTTGTTGAGGTTTATATTTTCTATTCTCTCCGATCCTGCTCTGAGTAAAGAGGAGTGCCAAGAGGCTCCCACAGTTTCAGCTGCTCCAATCATCAGTATCATCTTCTCTGCATTAACAGAAGAGGCCATTAAAGGGTAACTTTGGCATTTTTCAACCTGGACCCTATTTCCCCGTGTAAATCGGTCAAAGAGGCTGATGTGAACAACAATTTTTGAGACAGGTCCAGTACTGGGCGAGTCACTGTATGTCCATTAAAAGTGTTATTGCCTCATTAAGCGGAAGCCTCCTTCTGAAATATCACAAGATGTTATGAGTGACTGGGAGAGTGTATAGTAATCAGAGTAGTTTAAAAATGTAACCATAAGAAAATGTAACTATCTAAAAGATATTCTATGTCATGGAGGATGGCTGATCAGCATGTCTATGAACCTTATACTTCATTCAGGAAGAGGAAAGCAGCTCACCAGTGTTGCATTCGTACAGGATGATGCTGTAGGTTTCATCATAACCATGCGGCAAACCAGCGACCTTTGCTTTTGGTCTAAATGCAAACATAGGAAACAGGTTTTGTAATGAGTGTTTTCATTATAGAGGAAAGCAAAAGCTTAGTACACATTTACAATTGAATATACTGCATTAGTATTTACAGGATGACCCTGAAAAGTGTGAATCTCAGAAATGGAACAAGCCTCTGTGACTTCTCAATACCTACATGCTGCTGCAGCTTCCTCCCTCCTCCTCTTCCTTCTTATGCTTTTTACTCAAGATTTGTTAGTTTGTTGGCTTAATAAGGATCTAGTGGAATCTCTGAATTATGTTTGCTGTATAATTAATGCTTTTAATGTGACTGTGGTGTTAAGTTTTTTTTCCAGCAGAATCATCACTTGATTTAATTTTTTTAAAGGTCCTTTAAAGAACCTTTTTGACAAATGTCCACATGAGCATGTAAAAACTGAAGAGGACCATGGTTGTCCTCGGCAGCTGCCAGACTAAATATCTGAAACTATTAATATAAATCTGAGCATTAATGGAAAAGATGATACATTCTTGTATGCACTCAAGTTAGTTTAAGAAATTGAATTTCTTACCTGTTGAAAACACAATTATCTAGAAAATGCAAAAAATAAGGAAAATAAATAATCAGCTTTCGATTATTAATATCAGGGAGCTTCAATGATCTGTAGTAAAACAAGTATACTGGGTGTTGCAGTCAGTCTTATACATTTTGCTTCCAGAAACTAATGCCAGCAGCCTTTAATTGTTAAAAAATGTGAAGCCACATGAAACAATTCCTGCAAATGCAGCTGGGTTTTACAATGAACGCTCGGTAAACTTTGGTGAGGTAAATATATTCAAATTCTTACCAGTCCTGCTTTTAGTAAAGAGAAGTGCCAATCCAAGCAAGACGACTCCCACACTCACACCTGCTCTAGTCATTAGTGTCAGCTTCCCTGCATTACAAGAAGAGGTTGAATGTGGGCAAGAACTATGAAGCCTATCAGGAGGGTGGTGCTACAGGAGATGTAGTGTCACAAGAACTTTGCTATATTATTCTTTCAATTAATCATCAAATCAGTATCAGTATCAAAAACTAATATAGATCAAAGACCTGTTTCACAACTGGCAATCTTAATGTTAGAATATCACCTGACGTGGATGCAAGGAACAAGTTAGCTTTAGTACCAGGCTGACAAACAGAAGGATTTACACATACAGCATTTATGAAATTTCCCAGCAAAGCATTTTAACATTTTCATGCACTAACTAAAAATTAAGTTTACCTGTTATTTCATCACCACATGTTGGATTTATAGAAGTTGTGTCAGCAGAAGTCAAACTACCTGCAGCACTGGAAGTTATGCCAGTAACTGAAGACACAAAAACATTAACATTAAAAATGACAAATATCCCAACATTCTCTAAAAAGTCAGAGTGAATGATTGATAACTTGAGGAATTAATTTTACCTGCTTCTGGTTTCACTGATGTAAGGAAAGTAGAAATGGAGGCACCAGTGTCACTTGGTGTACCAATAGTCTGACCTGCTGAGAGAAATAAAGTACATTTTAAAATAATTTCCAATAAAAACATTCACAGTTTATGATTAATTCTAAATATCTGTAATTATCTCACTTGATGTGGTTTTCACAAGAGTCACAGGAGTTGAAGCACCAGGATTGTTAACTGTCAGCCCTGATAAATAAAAATACAAAAACAATTAAATAAAACTCCTAAATATGAAAGTGATATGTGGTGATTTTGTGGATTGCTTTTCAGATATATATCATGTCCTACCTGTGGTCATGCTAAATGTTGGCATAGTCGGTGTCATGTATGATTCTCTCTCCACAATTTCTACAATAAAAGAAAATGGATTTGGACCTCTTATTTTCATACGTGTACAAATAAATCAATGTTCATGTATTTTACAGTCTGATTACCTCCTATTAACTTCAACAATTATCTTAATATTTTAATAAAACTAGAGACTTGTTGCTGTTGTTAGCATGTGCACGTGTGTGGACTGGTTATAATGAAAATATATATTTGAAATGAAATTTAAATAACAGAGCTACTGACTGTCAAATGACTCATATTTTGAGAAAGTACTTGGAGAATAAATGTGATTAAGATTCTGATGTCACACTTTTACAATTTAACTTGACTGAGCAGCTCAAAGGTGGAGTTGCACTACTATGTTAACTATGTCTGAATTTATCCAGTCGCAGTTCACTGGATGTATCCGTAACTGCTTATCCTGTTGGGGGTTGCTGGGATGCTGGAGCCTATCCCAGCTGACATTGGGCAAGAGGCAGGGTTCACCCTGGACAGGTCGCCAGACTATCACAGGGCTGACACATAGGGACAGACAACCATTCACACTCACATTCACACCTACGGACAATTTAGAGTCTTCGATTAACCTGCATGTCTTTGGACTGTGGGAGGAAGCTAGAGAGTACCCAGCGAAAATCCATGCTGACACGGGGAGAACATGCAAACTCCGAACAGAAGAGCTCCCCACCCCAGGATCAAACCAGAAACCCTCTTGCTGTCGTGACAATGCTAACCACTGCTCCACCATGCCACCCTATGGAACTATTAACATGTGTTCCCAACAAATGCAAGCTGTAAAAGTAGCCTAATGGTTAAATTGTAGCATGTGTACGGACTTACCAGTCAGTTTGTATCTATCACTGCGAGGAGACAAAGAGTTGGGTTCACTTCCCAAACTGTAATCACAGCTGGCATCACTTTGTTGACCTAAATGTAGACGTCTCAGCAAATCATTAATTATAACAGTAAACTGGCAGAACCTCTGATTGGTTGAGGTCTTTTTCCTCTCTGTGTTTGTTGTTAGGACTGGACGTGTTGCTTCTCCAAGGTACAGGTTACATCTTGTGTCACGATTAGCAGATCCAGGCAGAGAGCAAGTAAAGAAAACACGGTCACCGTAAAAATGCTGAAATGTGATCTCTGGTTTTTGGCCTACAAAAAAATAAATAAATAATGAAAAGACAATACATTTGTGTTTCTCTGTAATCATGTACACTTTTAGATAGCCTGGCAAATGAAAAGACAAAGACCTTTTCAAACTAATCAGTACTCAAGTGCTATGTAATAATGTTCTGGACTGCAAGCTTAATGTATAAAATCTCCTACCTGTGCTCATACTGAATGTTGGCATTGTCGGGGGCATTCTTGACTCTCTTTCCATAATATCTACAATAAGAGGAGATGGACAGACATTTACAGTCCAACTGTGATTCAACACCACACACATTGTGTATAACAACTAACTAATATAATAAATGTGTGTGACATCTGATGTGAGTTTGTAATAAGTAATCATCTGAAGCAACAGGAGATCTTTGGACTGCTGCAGCCAGGCAGGGCTGGCTTTGGACGGGGTACAGCACCCAAGATGTGGTCCAAAGCCACAAAGAAAGAAAGGAAAGACCTCGTGATCTCCAGAGTTGTTAAGATGGAAGAGGAGAGCTACAAAATCAAGGAAGTGGGCCAATAGCAGCAAGAGCATTCTGGAAGGCTGTGATCAGCAGGGCTGTTACGTGGGCAAATATGTGGAGGATACCTTAAGCAAGGCTGAGTTTCCTCATCAGAGTCACGTACGACATCCTTCCCAGTTCCTGGAACCAACACCTCTGGAACGGCACAGAGGAGACCTGCAACTCTGCAACCCGAGCGAGCAGCACATCCATGACCAGGGGCATACAGGCTCGAAGCAAACAGGGCCTACCCGGAAACAGCACAGCGGCTGATCCAGGCAAGAGGGTGAGACTCAGGTCAGTGCGTGGGTGTGGTCTCTTCTGTCACTGGGGCGACTGGAGCATGAGAGCTGATCTCAACCATCAGTTGAAGTTTCCACAAGAGATCAACACTACCTCCCTACGGCCAGATATCATGTTCTGGTCCACACCTACTAGGATTGTCATCATGATGGAATTGACTGTCCCATGGTAAGAGGGAAGGGAGTCTGTCTTCAAGAAGGAAAAGTACACAGAGCAGGCAGCTGAGTCCTCACAAGCAGGGTGGAGGGCATTCACCTATCAAGTGGAGGCTGGCTGCAGAGGCTACATGGGAACATCCACCTAGCAGTTCTTAAATTCTCTCGGGATCATAGGCTCCAATCTGAGGAAGGCCTTTAAAGACCTGGCTAAGGAGGCAGAATAAGGGAGCTTCTGGCTCCAAAGACAGGACAAGGTGTGGAGAAAGACGGATCCTAGGGCTGCAGGGAGACGTCTCTGCCACTGCTCCACCATCGAGAGATGATCCGGGATTAGAGGAGTGAAACATCAGTTAAGATGATGACCACAAAAAACAATATTCCTATCACCTCCAACCACAGGGGAAAAAAGAGGTTGTTAAATCTCTTTGTTTTGGTTTGTTACCCCTAACATCAAACACACCTGAAATATTACACCATGCCACTGTTCTTACATGGAAATACATTAATATCAGTAGATTAATAAAGCAATCACTCACTGTGTATGGTGATGGAGGATGTGTCACTGTGTGGAGATGGAGAATTTAAGTCTCCAAGCTTTACAGTGTAAAAGCATTTCACTTTAACCTCGGAAGGTGAACTCTGATGTGCCATATTCAGCAGCTCACTTCCTGTCAGTGTCTTCATACAAGAGAGGATTGTGGGAGAGTCTCGCCCCACAGTGTAGAAATAACACTGAGACACAGAAACAGATGATGGAGTCTGACAGTTCAGTGTGACTGAGTCTGTCTCTGTGATCACCGCTGGATTCACTGTCAGTGTGGGTAGTTGAGATGCTGAAAATTAGGTCAGGTTAAATAATTGAAAATAGATTTTTTAAAACATTTTTGATGATGCCCATTGAACATTTTCTAACACTTCCTCAGAAGAGTTTGCTCACTTTGTATGATGATGGAGGATGTGTCACTGTGTAGAGATGGATACGTTGTGAGGTAATAACACTTCACTTTAACCTCAGCAGGTGAACTCTGACGTGCCATCAAAAGAAGCTCAGTTGCCAACAGTGTCTGCAGACAAGAGAAGCTTTTGGGAGGTCCTCCTCCTTCAGTGTAGAAATAACACTGAGACCCAGAAAGAGATGATGGAGTCTGACAGTTCAATATGACCGAGTCTGCGTCTGTGATCACTCTTTGAGTTACTGTCAGTTTAGGTGGGAGAGCTGAAAATTTGAGTATATCTTGCATTAAACAGAATTTACTTTTAAAAAAAAATTTGATTATGAATTCATAATGGAATAACTGGATCCCCATGTTGAGAGACACGAGAGTATCAAGATATTAAACTACAACTCCATAGCAGCAGGATGCACTCACTATGTATGGTGATGGAGGACATGTCACTGTCAGGAGATGGAGACACATGAAGGTAAAAACACGTCACTTTAACCTCAGCAGGTGAACTCTGTTTTGTCATCTTCAGCATCTCAGTTCTTGTCAGTGTCTTCAGACATGTGAAGCCTTTGGCAGGTCCTCCTCTGTCAGTGCGGAAGTAACACTGAGACACAGAAACAGACGATGGAGTCTGACAGTTTAATATGACTGAGTCTGTCTCTGTGATCACCGCTGGATTCACTGTCAGTTTAGGTGGAAGAAGAGCTGAAAATTTAAAGGTAAACATATGATATATATATACATCAAATATTAATAACAGATTATGATAAAAATCCCATGAGGTAATAACCACGGAAGCATATTACTGACACGCCAGAAAAAAAAGAAAAAAAAACACTGATCAGTATTAGGTAATAATGCGAAAAGCACCTTTTTATTACCCAGATGTTTTTCACATTTTTACAAGTTAAAAACAATATACTCTTTGTCTTGTTGTATTTTTATACAGTCTATGGCAGCAACAGTCACAACAGCAAAGTCACTATATAAACTCAATAATGTCTCACTGGAAACTAGTCAAAAATGTCAATAAAATAAATCATATTCCTGACATCAAAATACTGAGTAAAGTAAGAACAGCCCCAGCATGCAGAGAGCAGGAGAGAGAGGCTGCAGTGTGATGATAAATGAAACCAAAACTTTAAAAACCACCATGAAGGAACCGATAATGTCAGGGCTTATTAATACTACGGTCTTTATTAATTTTGCCGCAGCCTGCTTAATACCGGGTTTCAGTAGCCACCTCTAACTGGGCCACTCAGAGGTTGCTTCTGGGCCGGATGTGGACCACGGGCCGCCAATTGAATAGGTCTCTTATAACATGACCACTTATCACTTGTCAGAAAACTTTCTCTTTTTCTTTTTACAAGAAAAAAATCCTGTTTTAATGTGAAAATATCTTGTAAAAATGTTTTTAAAACAACAACATCTTTTTGCTGTATTACCTGGTACTTTTTTTTTCTTGTGTGGCAGCAATACACTTCCATAGATAACAGCACAGCTGGACATGACATATAATTGATAAGAGACTGACCTTGTGCTTGAATCTCAGCAAAAAAATCTGTTGGAAATATGTTAAACAAGGTAAAGAGACATAATCATGATTCATAAAGAAATTCAACACCCTGTAGAAAGATTAAAACTCTTAGGAGTCAAGTTCCCGATGGGGAAAATTAGTTGCTCTAAAGGTCCACAATAATTTCACAAATAACACAGAGCACCAACACAGGTAATAAGAACACACGACATAAAATCACCAACCATAGAAGTGTGGATAACATGCTGACACATAATGGCTAATATTAGATATTAATTAGGTGTGAACCTACATTAGTTTGTAATAACCCACATTATCAGTGATTAAATCTATAGGAGGTTTAACTTACACATGAGGATGACAAACAGCAGGCGTCCGGCCATGATGAAGCGTACTAAGACTGTCCAGATAGAAGACACTTGTGTGTCTGACTACATGAACTTTACGTAACATACTATACTTACATGTCATTTTGCAGAACATGCTCTCAGGAAAACCACAGCGAACATCAGACGTGGATCACATTAACAGACAGGCCACAGACACACACCCGACGTCCTTTTAAAGTACCTATTATATGTGTTTTATTTAGAGTGAATCTACCACACAGGAGGCTCACCACATATGAAAGTGTGTGTGTGTGTGTGTGTGTAATACTTGAATAAGTAGAAAAGCTGAATTCTCTGTTCCCCTGTTCCACAGTGTCTTCCTCTGCTTAGGTGCCTTTGGCCTCTTTTACACTTTTTCCATTGTCACTCTTGGCCGATCTGATGTGTGTTTACATTGTCAGTTTGCCACGAAAAGCCACACCTGAAGAGGACCTTCTCAGGAGTAGGCCACCCTCAAGTGGGTAGCGGTGATGTCTTGCCGACCACAGACAACCCTCAACATCCCTGTTTCTCCCCCTCAAACAAGCGTGTGTGTGTTGCGAGACTCTACTCACCTCTGTCTGCAGGACACCAGACAGAAAGGCGTTTCTCTGTGTTCAGCTCTTGGTGCTTCTGTAGCTTCTAACTGAATCTCTGTGGTTTGTTAGTTTCTCTCCTGCGTCCTGTTTTTACTTTAGATATCTGCTTTATTTTACTGTTGCATGTTGCCTATCTGCGTCACAGTGATGTTGGTCACAGAGGAGGAAACCATCACTGTTGCTGTAGACTGTGGCCTGTTAAACAAAGAAAGATAAACTAAGTAACACTGTGTTATTCCTTTAAGAGGGAGACATCACCATGGTAACTGAGGGGTCATAGTCAGTAACTATGAGCACACACTGTAGAGTTAGTGAGCTTACTTCAGGTTTAATGTTGAGTTTAATAAGTTAGTGGTTTCAGTGTTGGCAGTTTCATCTCACATTAACCACAGGGAGACTTTTATACAAATATTTGTGAACTGAGTGAAACAGGCCTTTCATGTGAAACTCAAATACAAGGAGCTATCTTGGAAAGAGTGTGTTAGCGCAAAAAGAAAAAAAAAAGAAACATCTTGTGGCCTAATGAGCATCACCATCAAGACCAGTTTAGGTGTTGGCATCTCCACTTTTTCCTGAGTGGTATTAAAACTGGATTTTATATACAGTACAGGCCAAAAGTTTGGACACACCTTCTCATTCAATGCGTTTTCTTTATTTTCATGACTATTTACATTGTAGATTCTCACTGAAGGCATCAAAACTATGAATGAACACATGTGGAGTTATGTACTTAACAAAAAAAGGTGAAATAACTGAAAACATGTTTTATATTCTAGTTTCTTCAAAATAGCCACCCTTTGCTCTGATTACTGCTTTGCACACTCTTGGCATTCTCTCCATGAGCTTCAAGAGGTAGTCACCTGAAATGGTTT